GTGCTCCAATCGCTGGCGGCAAAGGCGATGCTTAGGATGTGGATAAAACAGAGCGCCCAAGGCTCGGCCTAGCGCAATATTGAAGGCAGTTGGCTAAGTAGGAAAACAAACTGAGGGAGATGAGTTCTGAGGCCTTAAAAATATTATTATATCGGAACACGAAGCCGAGAATGCATATTGGCAGAATTTCGTATTGTTAGCATGTGTTAGGATGGGTTTATATTATATATGATGTCGAAGGTTATATTTGTGAAGAAAAGCTTTCCACATTGATGTATCTTTTAATACGCGGATTTTTTCTTATGTTGTCGGTCAAATAACCTAAACCTTGTTTCTTGGATAAGATCTTCCATACAATTTGAAGCTAAAAAAGGTCACCATGTACAGAAGGAATTTTTTTTTATACAGAAGAGACTTCATCTGCTTCGGGATCAAAAATAGGAAGTTTTTGCTGTGAAAGAAACATATGCGTCAGCAAAACGTTTCAAACTCGCAATTTTTCTTAAAGTGGTACATTTATGTTGAGTACAAATAATCCTCACTATGAGCACTTCAATATCAGGTGGCGTGCCCTGAAGGTTCTCAAATGCCAATTCCGACGACACGCCCGATCAGCATATCGCATTGAAATGTATTATATTTTCCTTATTCAAATATTCATCATGTACTCTACAGCTATCTGTCTGCATCTATACTTTCTCTCGACTACACCTCGTTTCGACTCACCACCCTAAAAGAAGTAGAAAAGGGTTTCTCCGTTTTGCCCCGTGCGTCCATTGCCACCGCCTTTAGTTTTTCTCCTTTCTTTTATCTAGCTCTGACACCTAGGGTCTCGCGTCGAGGCGCCTGTCGGACGAGATCCTGGAGTCTTTGTTCTACACTCTTTTTCGCCCCTTCCTTCGGTTGGTTCCTTCCATAAATCGAAACGGACAGCATTCCCGACATGAAGAATTACCATACGTCACTCGGATGTCACGCCGAGCACCGCCTTTCCGCTGGCCGCCAACAACAGCAGCAGCCAGCCAGCGGAATCCGGAGCAGTAGCATAGCTGTACGGAAACAGCGGGAGCTGAAACCCCGAAATCTCCGACTTCGTGCGTGCGATGAGGGTACACTCGCTATCGTTCCGCTTCCTCGTGCACACGAGATTCGTCGACACGCTGTCGGCACCGGTTACATTACAGGGACATCAATGCGACCAACTTTTGTATCGAGAGTGCAAGAATCGTACCGCTGACGTTTATTCTGTAGTATAAAAAGACTGTTGGGGCATGAAAGTCCGAACGTCACATCCATACGCGACACATAAGAAAAGCTGCTAGATTGATAATTGTTTTAATATCTCGCCTATTATTATGTATTTGATTTTTAAGGAATGACGTATTTATTGTTGTTGCTATTTATAGAGTTTATTACTTTTTATAATGTAGACATATAGACATGAAGCGACCTTGCACAAATATTTAGTAGGCAATGCTTGGAGTTTAAGTCGCTATTAACCCCTATAATGACTTACCTTAAATATAAAGTTTAATAATCTAAATACATAAAGCGGTTCATATTCATCTTTATTGGACATTCATATCGATGAACATTTGTCCTGATTTGGGAATACGAGTACTACATTTAGATTGAGAGCCCGTTCAGTGAATCGCCTTTCTCGCTTCATGCTGAGTAAGCACGTACGGAAGATGTTTTAGGCGAAGCCACATTGAGAGCGCATTTTTTGAATAAAGACACAGTAGCTGTCAGGGCATAGCCCTGACCAGGTTCAAAGCGTACGGATTCAGGAAAAGGCGTCACGATGTATCAGGGCCTCGCGCGAGTGTCAGGAGATAAAAACGACATCGGAAATGCCTATCCAGTGTTCCTCTTTTAGTCCCTTTCATGTGATCCATACAGCCAGGACACACGAACGATTGTATTTTGGGGGCGAGAAGATCTTGTGCAAAAGATCGTCAGACATGGTCGGCCTTGTCAGGTCTGATACCACTACCTGTTTATGGCACAGAGCAACAGTGGCTTTACTGTATTTCACAGCACTGATAGGGCGCAATTGTACAGTGGCATCTGATGTAATTCATAGACTAAAGCTCTGACAGCATATTAAAGCACAAAAAGCAAAATAATGCGGTCGTCTATAAAGGCACAATAATTAGTTTCGAAAAATAGCTATCATGCAATCTACAGAAATTACAAGATCAGAAAACTTGCTGATCTGTTGCTGACATCCTTAGCATATATGATATATATGCTACATATGCAGATATAGAATCAGAAGTTACCCGTAATAGAGCAAGAACATGGATGTGATAGCATAAATAGAAAAGGCCTTTTATATCAGACAACTAGCAATGTCAGGCCTGTTTTTATGAGACCATGCATCCCGCCTTCACTCTATCAACACCGCTATATCTAAAAAAACATATCAGACGCCGCCGGACTCTTTACAGCTTCAGATTTCTCTGTGATACATTGCGAGTCTTAGTCTTTCTACAATTTAATTCAAAGCCAACCAATACACTGCTGACTTCAATATGTGTCTCATTTTAGCGTACAGGCAGGCGGGGGCATTGGAATGGTGGCAAGGGGCGAAGCGCAAGAGAGAGAAAAAGAACGAGTGGGCAAACCGTTGAAGGAATTTTGAAAAATGAGCGTCATTTATTTTAATATAGTATGTTCGCAAAGCAGCTCTGGTGCGGTCGGCGCTTGCGCCGTACCAAGGAGTTTGCTAGTTGGAGGTGAATGGGACAGGAGGCAGGAGATGGTGAGCAAAAACGAAAGATGAAAGAAATGTATGAAAACAGACAGAAGCCACGTGAAACACATACCGCACCAGTGGACGACGTATAGCAAAGTACGGGAAGCCAGATATTTCGACCCAACTGTGTCAAGGGTAGTAGCGACCTCGTAAAATGGCACTATATGTATTATGTAGGAAAAGGGACGTGTCGTCGTGGTTTCGATGAAGCTCGCGAGCTTGAAGATGCTAAATGCAATGTACTGGGTGGATTTCGCTCGTGAAACGCGCAAAACCCTTCGCCTTTTGCTCGCTACTCTGCTATTTCTGCTGCACTCTGACGTACTATACGGGAAAGCGACTTGATTTACTCTGTAAGCAAATTTACTGAAGAGTAGTCGAGGGCAACAAAGGGTACCACCCCACCGAAGTTGTGTTTGAGGACGTGAACTTTAGCATATTTCGCATTCCTTTTGATAAACTTCTTGATACAACGCAATTTAGTCAGAGTAAAAACGAAGACAAAAAGCAGAAACATGGGTATATTGTGAAGTGAGAACAACACTGAGCAGTAATAGGCTTCAACTTCAAGCTACTACTGACATTTGTTCGTAGCAGCATCCTGTTATAGCAAGGTATTATGGAGTCCTTGCGCAATGACTGAAACGGTCACTTATGTCACTAGTTGTGAATCACTCAAAGGTTCTATTAAACGATGACAAGGTCTCTTGAAGTGGTTTTGAACAATAGTTATTTTATAGTTAATACCGCAGAGGCTAGCGTACACTTTTACGTATTTTTTTTTATTGCGGTTCTAGCCGGCCGCCCGTAAAGATAAGTCACTTCGCATTTACTATTGTATAGCAGTAACCAATTGATAGGCTCGCTATTTATTTGAGAAATCTTGACAATGCTAAATTTTACAGGCCTTCAAATATTAGATGCTGCTGCCAGCTATTTTCAATGCGAATTCGAATTTGGCCTTCGGCGACAGGCTCCTTTTCTCTCCTTTCCGATTTTCTTGCGATGGCAGACGAGACTTGAATGCACGCCACTTCCGGTTTACGGATGCGCGGGCTAATTTGAAATTTAAACAGACCACACTTCGCTGGCTGGTTGGTTGGGATGGACCTGTCGTCTTTTCTTTTGATAATTAGCTTCTTTTATCGACGCCGACAGAAGCAATAGCGCTCGGGGCGCTGTTGTGTGAGTTTCGTGGACGGCCGTCGCTGCATAACGCAAAGCTTCTTCCAACGTCCAATTGAATAAAAGCAAAGCGAGCTAGTTCCAGCTATTTACTCATAAAAAATAACAGTATAATAATAACTTTTTTATTCACACCACTTATATAGTATTTATGTACTGCAGCAGGATGGTCTTGCATGGAGTAAAGATTTTTTTGCTTGAGGCAAATTTCATCAACATCAGTGCTCCACTACAAAATCAAGACCGGTGAAGTTGTTCCTATCGATAGAACTAATTAACGTACCGTAATTCTAAATATGAGGAACTTGCAAATCATCGTATCCACGAAAAAAATCAAGTCTTTTTTTTATAAAGCCTAATTGTTGATTTGGCCTTTTCTTGATTTACTTTTACCTTGTATATATTAAGAAGTTTTCCAATGCTTGAGTAATGGAAAGTCGTCGAACAACGGTCTGCTGAGTAGCCCCTGGTGGCATTGAATGTTTAGACCAGCAGTCGTCGTCTACGTTCGATGCCACGTAGCATCATATCGCCTCCCTGACCGCCGACATGTTTTCGACTACTTCGTAGAAAAACAACAATGTTAAATATACATATTATTCTGTTCTGATCCTTGTGAGCAGCAGTGATTCGGACGAAATTGTGGCGTATACATTGCGTTGTGGCTGCGTCGACGAGAGATCACGAATGGTATCGAATGGCTCTGCTCGGTTAAACATCAACGCCATTTCACCGATGGGCAAGTATTCAGCTATCCTTCAGGACTTCAGTTATTGATGATGATCAGAAAATCTTTTTGTATTTATGCTAGCGGATCGTTGAAACGGTACTGGGAAACCACAAGCAATGCTACGCCAAGCTCTGTTAACGTCGAATTTTAATTTAACTAAAGTGCGAGCTGTAACTCCTCGATCTCGATATTCTAATGATACACTTTAACGAAACGGATCTAAGATGCAGCCGAGTAAATTAGCTATAATACATACGGACGTCTGTATTCGGGTAATGATTTTGAGGCTAACTGATCGTATTTTCTATTATTTTCGTATTCGAAGTTTCTTCAGCCAGCTTAGTGATGAAACAACCGGTAACACTGGGCGACCCTTCTACCGATGAAGGCGCCGGTAAGTTTAATCACGACAGGCAGATGCATTTGTTTCTATATAGAAACACTACTGGTATAGTGTTTTCTCTTGAACTCGGCCCGCCTCTCCATAGTTTCCACTTGGCCACTTGACAACTACTGACATCTTTTTATTACATTTGCTCTATTCATATTCTTTACATGTGCGTTAATTTCCATCGCTAAGCGAAGATACTGCATTTTACAAAGATCAGTTTGACTTTATCGTTGATGGAGATAGAAGACGCGGAGCTGTTACAGAAATAAACAGTATTGATTACTATTACATACCAGTCGTATTTGTTTTTTGCGCAGTTCAAGTCCAGTGGAACACTGGGCCGCTAGACATTTTAAGCTCGGAAAAGGTGTGTGCCTCACCGGAAAAGAAAGCTTCACCCAAATTACAAAACATCTCGAAGATTGCCGATAAAGCTGAAACGCTGGTAACGGCTGTAAACAGGAATCATGGAAACGGTCCAATGACAGCCAAAAAAAAAAATTGTTGTACTCTTCAGTGAATCAGCCTGAACGAAGTAAGGAATTATTATCACGAACGTTAGCGCGCAGCTATAAAAACAAATTCTCACATATTTACAATTTATTACACTTGCCATACATTTAGGTCTAACTATGGTCACTGTGTTGAAGGAGGAAATTATATGCTTATATATTGCCGCCGTCGCTCATCGCCCTTAGACCTGTAATATGGTTTCTTGCAAAAAGTTCACGTGGCGCCCAGCACAGCGAGTTTGTCAACGTTTTTAAAACGTTGCTGTTCCTATTCCTGCTAATACAGGCAGAAGATTTTGACGGACCTTGTTCTCTCTTCAGTCCTTCAACTATTTCAGTTCCATTCGCACCGGTTTCTCAGGGAGACAGTTCCTTAACCTCAAATCGAACTTCCCTGCTTCACTACTTGCATCAGTCAGATGATTAGTCTCTACGCTGTAGTCCATATCGCTCGTAGACTTGATGCCTTCTGTGTGCTTCATAACCTCGCCTCTGCTCAAAGCGTGTCGCTTGGCATTCGTCCGCTCGTTTTGCCGAGAGACAGTTCAGTATCGAAATATCGGAGCGCGTCTCAGCTGCAAGCTACGGCTTCTCGTCGTTGTCGTCATCGTTAGCGACCACGGGACTTCGTAGTTGAATTAAATGCAGTCCTGCTTCATAAGTGACTCAGGAAGATCTCGACCCGCACCGTTGATTTGCATTCAGCCTGTGGCTTTGCCTATCGGTCATCATTTCTTCCAGTAAACTTAATTGCTCATTCGCTACCCTATTACTCTGCTTATATTATCCCTGTTGGTGTCCTAAGACCATTACCAGTATTATTGCCGATGCGCTAGCGCTACCGTAGCCTTAGTGCCTGCTCACAAGCCAGAAGATACAGTCATGCGAAGTCATGCGCGCACGGCGACGTTAGCACCCACGCTACTTCAGCCACTAAGGGACTGGAGAACTCTCATCGCCTGCCACTTCAGACTAGGTCTGTGATAGGATACTTATTCTCAAGGCTCGTAAGAGATCTCTAGGAACCTGAGCCTTCGGTGAGCTCCTTAGCTTTCTCATTTTGACCGGCAAGTTGGGGGCGCTCAATTGCATCTCTCTGTGACGCGGATATTTATTTCGAGGTTCAGACTGCAGCGAATACTGATTGCGTTTGAAATCCACGCCTTAATGCCATTGCCGTACAGCCTTTTGTAAGGCGTTTTTTAAAACTAGATTTATGGAAGTGACTGCCGAGCCGTGTGGTTCTATGCATATTTAAGGGAAGTCCGTACAAGCAAACCTGAGTAAAGCTATCTGAGCAGGCCCGGTTTGTTAACTTTGATACCGCGTTGATTGAAAGAGCGAATATACTTTGTACTATACTCACATTATACCGCGCAGTCGTAAGGCGCGTCTAGACACAAGAGTAACACAGTTGACGAAATCAGTGTAGCTTTATTGACTCTGATAATCAGCCAAGTTAGCCGGAGTGCTTTAATAGTTTTTTTTTTTGTTCTATTGTATTATTGCAACTGTATTATATCAGTGTAACTCTAATTGGGTTTATGAAGCAGAATGGTGCGTTTCCGCAGCATCTAAAAGTAAAATTTGGCAAAATTATTGAGGGTAAATCGAAGTACATTTAGGTGCCCAGCTAATCTGTGCCGTACTCCAGCCACAGTATACTAGAATACAGTGCACATACACTGCAAACTGTAAAAACAATTATTATTATTATTACTGAATAATAAGCCCCGATTCTTTTGCTCGAGTAACGCTTACTAATTTTGTATAAAGAACAAAGGTCTTCTATTTGAAAACAACGAAGAATCATGGGGCTAGGAATAATTTAGATAGCGAGCTTTCGCCGATGAGTAAATACGGCAAAAATCGTATGAAAATAGATACCCATTTTATTTAATTAAATAATTAGATAAATTTCCAACAAGCTCGTATTTCGGTACTGGCAACAAGATGTATTCAGTTATTTCCATTGGGGATATAGAAGGTACGAATACTATAAGTAATAAGTCTTATTGACCAATATAGAATATTAGTGGGTTTCCTTCAAATCTGTGCGACCGTAGCTAACAAATCCTCAGAAATCGGCCCAGCTAGAGAACGAAATTTCAAGGGAATCTACTAGTGTAAACACTTCTCCTCGCTCAAACGAGTTTAGGCATTATTATGCTGCGATGCATGCCCACGTAAAGTTCTGCCTTACTGATCCTTCTGTAAATCAGATCAAATTTTTTGTATGACATCCTATAATAAAGAATATATTATTTTATAAATGAAATGCAAGGGTACATTTTATATTCAAAGCAGACAATCGCGCAAATACTGAACTTATACCATTCTGTCATCGCATAGTTTCACTCTCAGTAAGCGTAAATGCAAATGCGAGCGACCTGACTGGAGTTCGTAATGAAAAACGTGTACCCGGCGGAGGATTCTGTTGACAATGGTTCATTTTTTCTCGCTATCTTTGCCGAACAAAAGGGGTGAATGACTAAGACCGAGAGCTAACAGGGTGACTAGATTTTGTTCTAGTCAATGGTAATTGAGAAGGAATGAGATCTTGTGGGTATATCTAGGCCCACTAGAGCTTCTATAATAGGTATCCCTGGGGTTCGCTAGCCATCCTCGCCTCTGCTCCTACTCATGCCTTTTCGTCGGCTATAGTCTTATCGAAGTTACCATTAATTCGACCTAAGAATAAGGGAATAGACGAAGAGTTGCCTCTGTGCTCTTAGTGCCGGAAGCCAGGGGATTAGATGGGGTGGGGTGGTAACACTGATGCGTGGAGTGTGTAAGTGGGGTGTATGCAGACCTCCTGTCTTTGTGGTCAGGGTCTTCAGGCCTCACAATGCTCGAGAGTTGCAGTAACACGGGGCTATAGAGTAAATCTTAAGCGAATAGAGTAAAGAATGAGGTGCTTGGCACACGAAAGGTGGAAAGCAAAAGATAGGGACGAGATACGGATGTGTCGATTAAACGGCAAACAGCGTGCTCTATCCAACGTCGCGGGCATCACTTATCAGAAAGCCTATGCAGCTTATACAGCTGAATGCTTTTGAAGGCATGTTCCTGCTGCTACGAGCAAGATGAGGCGTAATGAGACGTAAGCGATTTCCAAAGGAATCTTGCTGTAATGCTATATAATAGCGTTACCAGTATGCAGAGTATATATATATATATATATATTAGAATTGATAACAGAACAGATGTGTGTGGTCTGCTTAAGTATTGATAATTCTTTGGGTAACGAAGATCCCCGGCCACCATTTGGTGTTTGTCCTTATTTAGGAAAATCCTATTCCTTGAAGAAGACCCAGTCGTGGTACATTTAGATTCGCGACCGTGTCATTTAGTAATTTAAACATTATGCTTAGATTACTAAATGATTAAATATTACGAGGTGAAATTTCGAAGAAGCAGGTTTTCAATGCAGAATTCAAAAACAGGGTTTACATGCGTTAATTAGCGAGTCCTTCTATGCAAAACTTGCGTGGTTAGGTCAGTTTTAATTATTTTTGCCTTGTTGTTAATAGCATGCAACTTAGTCCTTGAAATAATTAGCCGACAGCGGCTGTTCATGTTACAGGTATTATTTCTGGTTGGAAGAAAAAGCTCTAGATTAGATATTGTTTGTTTCCATTCCAATAGCCTTTTTGCCGCTTCTTTAGCTCGGCTATCAAGTGTCTCAATACTATATTACACTCGCACATCCAAGAACCGGTCCCACCTCGCGTGTATGTGCTTTTTCTGTCTAAAATTTAAAAACGGCCTTTGTAGTTCCGCCAAGCTCCAGAGGGGAGGTTTCTTGGAACAAGACGTTTATGCCGGTTCGCGGCTCAGCCAGCCTCCGTCTCGTTTTAACTTGGGAGTCTTTTTCCACGCACATCTACCGCTAGGACAAATGTGTGGAGTTCATTCAACACGTCGTCCAGACGTGATGACGGCTCCGCTTTGGTCGTCCGGCACGCTCAAGGGATCTTCGCTTCGTCTCGCCTCCGCGTAGGCCTTCTTCGCGGCCATGACTATCACTACTAGCGACCTTTCTGCACGCTTTCAACAACTATTGGCTCTTCCTCGGTTTCTTTTTGTACTGAGCGACTAGGCTGACGACCAACCTTTCTCTCGGTGGAACCTCGGTGTTCTTTTGGTGTCTTTCCTAAAAACATCGAGGTGATCACAGCTCGTTAGGAGTCGCACAACTGTCCGTTTTCGTCGGGCCGCAGGGCTCGGAAGTAACTGGACCAACAGCACTGTCCGCTTCTACGCTGCTCATCGAGAGGCGCATTCGAAGCGCAGCCCTAGACGTAATCCAAGGGCGAAGGAGATTTTAAGGCAAAGCTCCGAGGAGGTAAAAAGTCTGAGGCGGACATTTGTTCAGACGTCTGACTCCGTCCTCTGCCGGTCCTCAGGTTTCCGGTCAACTGGGAACGCAGACCTCATAGGGCTGAGCAGTGTGTGAACGTGTCTGAAGCCCGATGAGGCAGCGGGAGCAGGGCATCGGCCTAGCTGGCCATGAAGAGCAGATGGTCTTCGTGACATGTCTTCCCTTATGTTCGGCCGGAAAGCAACAGGGACTAACCATTCGAACGAAGGAAGTTACACGTCTGGAAAAATTGAGACAAAACACAAACGCTCCCCGCACCACGTATTATAGGAGGGCAATTCGAACAAGACTGGTAGCACAAGGAGACAATTGGTCAGTAGATAAGTTACTGCAGCCTGCTGCTAGTAATGCTGTAGCATTCATAACATTACTCCTTCATGGGAACACTGAATCAACATGAATAATTAGACATTATTATTAACAATTTGAGATGGGAAAACGAGTACAGTAAAGATGGTGTGCCGGCCCGCGAACAACTTACATGATCCCCTGCTGGAAAAACGTATACCGTACAGCCGTACGCTACGCCATTTTTTTTGTCCTGGATTACATATGATGAAACAAAGATGTCTACCTCAATTATCACCATTTACCGCTTTAATGCTCCTCTCTCATTGCGAGCAACATTATTACCCTATTTCGGTGGTGTTCAGCTCCCCCATCTAGGTTCTCCTATTCCCAGTGTGTGTGAAACCTAAGTGGATGGTGAATTAGCATTCATAATAACCCGATCGACGCTAGCTTAAGCCGCTGAGAGGTCTCACAGAATTGTAACTCATCTGCCATTCGGGTTAGCTGCGTGTGACTGGCCTTTGAATTGAATTGAATTTATTTGATTCTTTCACTGTACAAACGTCTGTATGTCTCTATTTCTCTCCTCCCCTCCTTCTCCCTTCTCTCTTCGCGTATCCGAGCATAATCGAATCTTTCAAGCTGAGTTTTCGTGTGTCGGCAATGCCGGTACGGCTTTCTTTGGCCTGCCCCAGTGAGCCATCTTCTCAACGAAATACTTCAAGGCAAACCAGGTCGGTCGCGACTTGGACACGGAAAATATTTGCATATTATCCCTGGTGCGTTCTTTTTTCGGCTTCTGCTAGAACCGGTGGCGGCGAACGCATATGCTCCTTTTGCTCCTCTTCTTCCGGGACGAAGAGTGCTGCTCAAACCCTCTGATTTCGACCCCCGGCTTCCCACCTGATTTAGGTAGCCTTCCCTACCCCGAAAAGAGGATATCCCGCCTCGCTCATTCGTAAAAACGAATCTCCTTAACCCCCTTCAGCCAGCTAGCAGCAGCTCCAAACGGTTCACTATGGAAGTCCCAAGGTTTCTCGGCCCCAGGCGACCGCGACTGTAGCTTTGGCGCGGAATTTTTGAATTCTCAGGAGGAATGACGATAGATATCGCCATCATCAACATATCGCCCATCGAAGCCCGCTACAACCGTCGTCTTCAAAGAGAAGAGGCTCTCCTTCTTTTCGCAAAACAGCAAAGGCGAAACGGGAACGCAAACGAGGGAAGGGGCGGAAAACGAAAGAATTCAGGACGCGCCACTGTGAGTGAAAGCTGTACTCAGATTTTCCGCGCCAACGATCGCGTCTCTGAGATTCTAATGTGGATATATCTGCAGAGTACATATATACCAGTCTATGCACAGGCATTTATAGATGAAAAAATTGACTTTTTTTTCTATGGCCACCTTACAGACTGGCCTAAGTAGAGAGCTAGAGCGAGCCTTGTCATTTGCTATGATGCATTTTATTGGTTATCTATGTCCCCACGATGCTGCATTGCTAACGTGTTTGCCGGCTAAGTGAAGTGGGATGGAAATGTTCTAGGTTCGAATCTGGGCGTTGACATGCCTTCAGTAAAAATTTGAAATATGATGAATACAGCGATAATCTTGTTTCCTGCTCGACATACTCAGATTGCATTCAGGAACATATACCACTTAACCACAATTTACATACAGGAACACTGCTACCGCGGACGACGTGGGCAGGTTGGCTAGTGCGTATGTCTGTGAGATCGTTGTCTTACTAACCATGAATATCCAGTCATTACTAAACGAACTAAACGAAGCGTTAACAAATGATTATTGTGGTATATGGTTGCGACTGTCGTGATTCAGCCGTTTAATGGGTCTGTTTGAGGAAGCCATGTTGCCTAACGCAATAAAACCCACTTTAGTCTTGCTATACCAAAGAGGTGATTGGAAGGATTTGCTCACAAAGTAATAGTAGCTAAAGGCGTTAGAAAAATGATATTTCTATAGGAGGTATCTACTATATATATAGTATAGGAGACGATTACAGATAACGACGATATTAAAGCAGAAAGACGAGCAACCTGTCATGATCGTCGTCGTCATGGTCCACCATTGTAAGCTACTGATGCCTGTTAAGGCCGCTTAGTTCGTATGGCATTCGTCGGCTTATGCGTACGGCGTTTCGCAGCCCACTTCTTCCCTATAAACAACAGTGTTTAGGCGGTAGGAAGGAAACAGCAGCAAATAGCCCCCGGCACTGAAGGCGACGTCTACCTCCACCTCGTTTTCCGCTGTCACTGTTGCCTCTTGCTATGGCTGAATAAAGCCAACGATATTGAGGCGTCACGGATCTTCTATCCGGCGCAAAGCTAGCACAAACAAGATTTGCGAGGTGTCTTTGCAACGGTCAGAGCAACCCCTACGCAAGGCGACTGATCGATTTAGGCTATGTTTATATGTATGGATATTATGGCATCGACTAAACTGGTCTAAGCAAATACGAACACATCCGATTTGACAGCTGGAGAGACAGTTTGGATAACCATAAGAAGAATAAGTTATTCTTGTGTAAAGCTAAGAAGACCATTGTTTCTGACAAATTCGAAATCAGTAAATGTAAGAAAGTGTAGAAGACCGCCATTGAGATGATTTTATGCAAACAACAAAACCATTATACAACGTAAATCATATGTAGGTACGCTAGAAAGCTAATAAGTTGGGGGATTCGCTGGACGGCGTCCAAGTGCCTTTCGGATTAAGTTGTCTTGCTTAGAGATCTCTCTCAGAAAGGACTCCAGAAATTCTTCTGTCATTCCCGTGTGCATCTTCGACGATTTAAGGTGCCTAATACGAGATTTCCACGTTTGCATATAGGTTAGTTACTAACAATACTACTTCGTTTGGAGCTGTTCTATTTATTTGCTTTTATCTAAACCTCACGCTTAGTATTAAAGGTTTGTTAAAGGACTAATACAGCACATAACGAACAATAGACTTAATAAGATCCTTATTAGCCGGTGAGATGTAATGGTCTCGTAAGCGATTTCCATAGTATGACACATACGCCCAAGGTGGAACATGTGAACTTGGGATTTTCCTCTGGGAGTTGTTTCAAAAGCTGTATATAAACAAAAACAGATTTTTAGTTTTTCAGAACAGAATTTCTAGCATATGTAAACAGTTGTCTACGGACGACCATATCTACTCCACTCACCACGATTAAAGCATTAATTCCTTTTTTAATAACATTTTTTTTTGGTTATCTACTACGATCCTAAGAAACAGTAAGCGTACGTCTAACGTTATATTATTGAGCGACAAACAAATTTACCGTAATATCAAACTCAGGCCTTCCGTTTGCTCGACAGTTGGGCGGGTAACGAAGTAATGGTGTACAACCGCGTTTCTTGTACGGTCAGTGGTAGTTCTTTTGTCCCAAATTCTCCGAAAAAAAAACTCATTGCAAGCTCAAAGTATTTGTACTGGCGGTGCGTACAAGGTCTGCAGTCCGAAAACATAACGGTAATCGACACTGAAGGCCATCAAAAACCGGCGGAATGTGCCGTTGCACGATGAGAAGTTTTTAGGCAGTTTTCACTCTCGTGTTGTCCTGTTCGGCTGCAGCCATGAAGCTTTTTGGGCCGATGCTACGATTCTATGTTAAACTCAAGGGCGCTTGCTAGACGTCTGTAGGCTGAGCGACGAAAAGGCCTAGGAGAGGAGAGACACCTTTGTCGGCCAGGTCGCAGCATGTCGATTTTCAATCCAGAATATTTGATTACTTCGTATGCTTTGCGTAGCTCATAGCATCGTCACTTCTAAAAAAAATATTAATTAGCAAAATGAATATTGTTGTTTATGTACTTTTTCCGAGAAGCACTCGCAGACAGCTGTGTATATGTGATTTGTTTTCCGTGTTAATTTATCGATAAAACGTTTAGCCAAGGTCTGTGTGCTAAGGTAAAACCTATCTAACCATGCATACTCAGACACGTTTTGTATTACTGACTCAAGTTAGTTTGAAATATTAGTCTTTAGCGATGGAGTTTGAGAAACCAGTACCTAGAACTACCACTTTGAACAGCCCGGTCACGCTATTACATATTTACACGATAATTAAACAAACCTAAGCACGCTCGAGTCACAAAACACAGAAAATGATAATATTAACAAACCACCGTCAGAATTTGGCGTCTAACGGTCGACATCCAATGTTTGTTCTCCCCCCTTTTATCTTACCCCTCCCTGTTTGCCCTTCTTTTCAGGTATCCCGTGGGTCTTCTAGATGTACGCGATCAATAAACCTTCAAAACCACTACTAGATGGCCCACATACTATCAAAATAGGAAAAATGTTTGCGTCAGGACGGTCCTTATGCTGGATCGCCGTCGAGTCCACTTCAGTCGCATCGTGTGCGACGACAACTAATTTGGATATCTCCATCGGAGTTGACACCTCTCTCAGTGCGGTCTTCTGGCACACCCGTGGTACGCGGTCTCCCCTGAGACCTTTAATTAATATTGATGCCCACCGAGTAGGCACAATTCAGGTAGCGGTGAGTGAGAACCTTTGCTTCTGAATGTACTCTTCGCAGAGCCTTAAATACCCACCGAACGTTACAGAGTATGTTTATTCGGTATATACAAATTACTGAAAGATAAACAGTTGATGGCGCAAGTGCCCCTATCATGAGCACTGCTCACCTTCTATGCGCGTTTTTCAGTCGAAGCTATTAGGCTGATCGACAAAAAATGGACTGGCTAATTTTTTTCTAACTTTTTTATTTCTATTAAAATAAGAAGACAGAATAAATTCAACTAGAACTTTTTTTTTTGGATATCGGAAAGGCCAATTAACTCTCGTTATCGTATGTGATACTAAAAATAATTTGCTGTTAATATAGGTTAGATTTCATATTGACAGTAATTATTTGTCGAGATTTTACAAGAAATAACTAATAATAATGAAAGTAACTTAGTACTGATCGAAATGGCGCTGTTGCACAAGTTTCTGTATATTAGTTTTATACGTACAGCAAACAAATTAATGCTAGCTATACACGAGATGCAAGAAATAAAAGAAGCATACATTCAGATACAAATGACGCGCTGATATTAAAGACGGAAAATGGGCATCTGCTCAGTCATAAGCTTCATAGCAAATGGATTTGGTTAATCTCTACGATTAATAAGCCAGGTCAAATCCTCTCATGGATTCTTCATGGAAACTGCATGGGTTCAGAAACATGATTAACCATTTGATTTGTTTAGGCATGAAAACAGATACACAGATTACAATCTAGGTATTATGGGCAGCCCATAATGTAGTTTGCAACAGTTGACAAACTAGAACCTCTACTTCACAAGTTTAAGTTATGCGGGTTAGCTCTTATTCTTAAGTATAATGATATTTATTTGCCAACAGTTAGCGATACTGTGACTACGTGCCATGTATGTAGTTGAGAACCCGCATCGTTCATGTCGGAAGCTTTAATTGTGGTGCGTATCGCATTAATCCTTGAATGTGAATGAATATGGAGTCAATCGTTTACCACGATAACTTGTCAGCATTTGGGTAGTAGTCTATAAGTTTATACTCAATACTCTGACCCATCTTTCATCACTTACGAGCGAAAAATTTCTTCTGGAAAAAAAGCTTCCGGATTTCAGAGTAACCTCTTAGTTTAGGTGACGCATATATGGCGATCGAGCATGTAGTCTAAGTATGAACACGTAATATTTGTTCTATGGGAATTCCGTTGAAAATCAATAGTACATAAAGCAAAGCACTGGATCCCAGTTTCACTGTTGCCGGTAGTTCGAACTTTAATATTAGAGAGAAAAAAAATACAGCATGTCACGAAAATGGGCTCGGTTCAGGTCTAAAGCTATCGTCATTTGTCGTGTTCATACAGGACACGATAATGCGGACTCATCGACATCTATCGAATTGCGGTTGGCAGGCTGAAGTGAAAAGGGAACGAAGCAGTATGGATTCGTATCTTTCTACCTATGGCATGTAGAAATGGGTTGCTTTTGCCGGTTCGTCGTCGATCCGGTTAATGTGGGATTTGTTCTTGGCTAGCTAATGTTCAAGGCTTACTGATGTTATATGTTGGAAGCAAGCCATACGCTTGTAACCGACAGGGATTTATCTTAAGCTCCGGAACAGATGCGACAGTAATCATAAAATACAATTCCTCCCTTATTTGTTGTCCATAACAGCGGATATCGAAACCATTACTAGTCGCCTATTATATACAGATATATATATAAACGGGTGGGCGAACGTGACGTTCCCATGGCACATGGCAAACGATTAGAATATTAGCATTAGTCATTGTCTAGCCATAGAGATTAGAAGTTCTGCATTTTTCTTAACCGAAACATCATAAAAATTGTGACCTACACGGTCCTCGATATATATCTGTGTGTCTTCCATTAATATTTTCTTATACTTTAAAAAAAAGAAAACGATTATTTCACTTAGAATATTGTCAGAGATTATTTTTTCACTCGGGCTTAAGCGATTCCTATGAGCATTTTCATGTTTAATTACTCGTCAAGCCACTTGACCGCATCAAGTATCCACTGCCTTGCTTAAATGGCAGATTTGACTATTAATCTGGTATGTTTATGTAAGCAAAATTTGACATAATCAACACTACCCTTTTCACGTTCCGTTTAAATTCCGTCTTAGCAAAAGCAGTGCAGTCCGATGCTGCGTTGTACCTCTGCTATTATAAATTTTTTTTTAATTAATTGAAATCACTCTACGCTCGTGGCTTCCGCCCGACCTCAAGAAGAATGATAACACCTGAAACCATATGCTTTCCACCATTTACTTGTTCTAAATTTAACTTGCAGATGACAATGGCGGGGCCGTTATGATTATAGCTAAACGAAAACTTTCTGCTTTCTACTTGAAAGTTCATAGCTTCTCAGCTTCGTAAAGAGACCTTGTCGTCCGTGTACTTCTTTGGACACTACCGGCTACCAGTAGCGACCACATACTTAAGATAAAAAGCATCTTAATGATTTTACGACCTTGCTGATGCGTTGGTGTTCCTGTAGCTGACGCGGAATAACCATTTCAGTCCTGCTAGTGCCAGTGATGTTAGAATGGGGGCACGGTGTTAGAGCGCATTAAGGATTCAGTCCTCGTTTCGCCCATTAACAACTTCTACATACCTTTGAGAGGGAACAGCTTCCAGCTCAAAGCCTCCCCAGCACGCGGCGTCAGTCCCGAAGTCTATCTCTGGCCGGTAGATGGATATTCACCGTTTCTATATTAAGTGTATGAGTGCCTCCAAATTCGACATTAGTAGCACACTGGGTACTAGTAGATTACGCTAAATGGCTGTTCAGAGCTGGCTTTAATAGGTGCTTAGTATTATAGAGTATATATTAGCATACAGTAAACAGAGTAGTAATTCCAAGGATTTTTGAATATTACTATTAGAGAAATCTCAATAGTTGATGGAAAAATTCAAGTGCGATATCAGCGAGAGTTGGTAATCAATAGAAAAGCCCAAAGTATTCTACTCCAGCGGACGGTTTCCAGCAGTGGCGTTCCTACTTGTAAGCATTGCTTTATTTACATACATAGGCCATCTTCACTCGCCACGCCTAAGCGCCAATTTATTCTCAGTTAATTACGATCCGCTTTTAGCTATGACAGGCTTGTTTTGTTTGCATATTTACAATGTCGTATTTAGCAAGCCACGCACACGGAAGAAGGCATGCCATTAGAGCCATGCACGTTTTGTTACCACACCAGGTACGATCGTGATCATACTGGCTGCTGAAAGCGACCGGAAACTTGGCCGGAAACGTTGAATCCTTTCCGGGGCTAGTTCCGGTGGCCGCGATTCATCGCCGGGCCATTGCGCGAACTGGATAGCTGGTAGCGGGTTTAGTCAGCTTGTTGCTTTGGCTTAAGTATAATTAGAAAGAACCTATTCGCCAGACGTGTAAAATTAATTTACAGAAACCTATGCGACAGCGCCGTTTTGGTCAACTTTTAAAGCTTGTTATTATTTTTGTTATTATCAGTTAATTGTCAAGGAGTCTTGAGTAAAAACAGCTTATGTCGATCTTCGTGATGCTTCACGAAACTTAGGACACGTAAGGCGGTTAAGGTGCGAAACGGCTAATCAACACTTAGGTCCGTACTGGACACCAGCCGTCTGATCAACTGAACGTGAAACACAACACATGTATTTAAGCATCTTCTGCCAATCTTTATTCGAGTGTGATTTATATATACAAACATGTTGTTTTGCTAGTTAGCTAATGATATTCGCGGTCTAGTATGCTCCGATACGTTCAGCGTATAATCATTTTTGAATGTCAGTTATTCAAGCAACGTGCACCACGTATTTTCTTGCGTATTTTCGTTGACGAATCAATTCCATGATGTTTACAAAAATTACTTTTTAAAAAAATGTTTTAATTATCTGGCGCGTTTTAAATGTGCAGGACCAACTTGTTGTAGGGAATATTTACGAATCGTTTGTAAGGCCAGTAGGACAAAAGACTTAAGGCTAAAGTGGCCTTGCCGCATTTTTGTTCACAGCACCACTGGTGTGTTTACAATGAGTACGAGGTTAAGGGCCAATATCAAACAAAAGTTTGCTGTTTTGCGCTCAATTATTTGCTAACCTCGGCATAGCTAAGAACCAACGGTGACCAGGGAAATGTTGACTCATCCGCATTAGCTATATCACACTTCTTTCTCATCACTATTATTTCGATCATGATGGTCGTTATTATATACCAAAGCGTCTCCATTAGGACCAAAACTAGCAAGAGGCCGTGGCAGCTAACGAGGTCAAGGGTCTGTTGGTTGAAGGGTGCGAGTTATAGGTCCATGACGGGTCGTTAGGACAGAAACGCTCTGGCGTCTGCTCTATTGCTGGTAGCAATGGCGATAATACAGAAGTAGCCGTTCTGGTCGGCGGCATCCTAGATGCTAGATGGGTAAGCGATTGTAGGAAAAAACGCCTCGAGAGAAAAGACACTTTACTTCGCTTATGCTGTTCCCTACCCCCTGTCAAACTTCAACCCTTTCCCACAGCCGCCTGTCTGCGAAATATATGCCGTAATTATGAGCAGCTTCCCATGCAGCGGTTGGCTTGGGTCGTCCGCTGAGGTTCTTGAGGACGCTCTAGTGCTTTCTTTCAATAAGCGCATTTCCCCATATTTGACCCTCTCTGGTGGTTAAGGCGTCTTCGTATGCTGGTAGTGGAGGTGCCAATCAAGCTTGCATATTTAAGGGTACAATATATCTCTGGTCAATAAATTCTCCTAGGCTCATTCTATAACCGAACACACGTATGGAAGTTTGGTCGGGTACCGTCATTCTTACGTACTTTACATAGGCATCGTTTAGAATAACATTCGCTTATTTGTTTACCTCTAGACATGATGATCGTGGAGCAGTTTAAAGCCGAGCGCACCTGTCCGCGGCCAAGCGCACCTGGCAATGCATCACTGGGATTGCCAGATATTATCCACGACGGGCTCTATATGTGTTAGCTGATACACTGTCCCT